ATCTATCTATCTATCTATCTATCTATCTATCTATCTATCTATCTATCTATTGTCTATCCATTCATCTATCTACCTACCATCTATCTATCCATCTATCCTTCTTTCTTTATCATAATCATCACCACACTCTCATCATCATAAGATAGAAAATTGTCAAGTTTTACCACGAAGAGGGAAGATTTCAAACAGAGGAGGGAAGAAATTGAAGCACAGAACAAGTTTACCTGAGAAAAATGAAGTACACTTCGAATTGAAGTTCCTGCTGGAATATGTCCAATATATACATCCAGACGACTCTGGAAAGCAGCAAAACATGATTAGTGTCCTTTATAAGAGTATGAAAGTTTAAAATAATATTGTAGAACTGAGTTACTTATATGATTAAAATCTTTCCCCAAAAAAAATCAATTAAAAGGAAAGACTATATTTTACCACAGGAAGAAGCTAAGTATTTTGTGGTTTATATGCTAGTATGTGGTGGAGATAATCTACTTGGAAAAAGGCTTTAATCTTAAAGGACTATTAAAAAGATGTCAGAGAAATAAGAGTTAAACAGTTTAAATTCATGATACCCAGATATTCATCCACATACGATATAGATGGATTTCTACAGCCATTTTATAACTTTGCAAATAATGCCATATTTTATCATATGAACTATTCATATTATGTAGGTTAAGATATTCTATACAATGCAAGCAAATAGTTCTCATTCTTAATGTTTACCTAGTAAGATGATAACATCACCAACCATTATTAGAAAAACATTTACCTGAAAACAAAAGTCATACATACCTCATTTAAATTCTGGGGGTTGTATCCAAGCATCACTGTAAGAAGATTATTACAGGCTGTTGCAATTTTCTGGCGATGGCACAAGAACTTAAGGATATGATTATCATTTGATCTGCTGTATATATCCTTTTCACCAAACAGGCTCTGAGAACGACATATTTAAATATTAGCTCTGAGACTTTGTCCAGTAAGAAGCAAGGATAGAATGAATTTGAATCATAAAACAAAATTTCAACATACTGATAAAGTTATATGGCTTGGTTCACTATTAAGTTTTATGCCTCCTGTCATATGGCCTAAGATAATTCTTTTCAACTCTACTGGAACACTTTGGTCAATAATGAATTACCTGAGGTGATAGAGACTATCTATGTCATTATTCAGATGAGCAAGTATTATGGCTCTTCACATGTCAAAAATTTTGAGGCCATCCCTGTAATGAAGGCCTTTTAATTTATGTGAGCTATAAATCAATTAAATTAATGAAGAAGCTAATGTCTAAAAGTTAGCTATGTGCCAAACATATTATTTAAAGTAATGACATAAAAAAGATAATGAATGTCCATAGTACACGACATGTAAGGATGTTTTATAACATTCATTTATGTGTGACACAGTGCATGCATGACACTTCGGGAGTCAGGTCTCTCAGCATGTGGGGCTCAGAGGATGAACTCAGGTAATGAGGCAGAGCTACAAGTGGACACACTGCCACTACATCATCTTATCAGTCTAGTATATGGTAAGATACTCCTTGAAAGTTAAACCAAAAAAAGTTTGACATAACAAACCAGTTGTAGAAGCTATCTGGCAGGTAAGGAATAAAAGCCCCAAATGACCATGAATACAGGAACTTGATAAAACAACACAGAATGCAACTGGTTTCTAACATGATGTTTCTGAATATACAGGTGAATGAACAACACTCATCTTGCAACATTTCTAACATTCTCACACACATGCATGCATGCACACGTGCACACGCACACACATAGAACATGCACTCACTTGGATACATCCAGGTACACATAACTAAAAGCAAACACAAAAAGAAAAAGGATTTGAAGTCTAGAGGAGCCACCCATTTAATGTCAGTTTTGAGCTGACTTAAAGATTTTCACGGTGATTAATGTGCCAGTAGTATGTTCTAGAACTAAAATAGGACAAGAGAGTTTGAAATAAGATTTAGAAAGTAGTATTCTCTGTTTTTAATATCTTTGACCTCAGGTTGTTAATAATACTCTTATCATATATGAGAAAGCAACAACTGGTAATTTTATCTGTTTCAGAGAGAATATATATATATGTAAATATATATAATAATAGACTCAGAAAGCTATTGAGTATTAACAAACAGCAGCCGCTTCATATATAAATGAAATGTTGTTGATTCATGGTAAATAGACTGCTGTTATGTAAATGCAAGTAAAATCCAAACAAACTATAATTCCGTGTCAGAATTGTAGATGGTTCCCTATTTGAAAGAGACAAACCGAAGACAAGAATGCAGAAGATGTGTACTCAGTAGACAAAACTCTGAATCCAACTTTACCGACTAAAGCTTCTCTGCCAAAGAAAGCATTTATAATTAATATATTATTCAGCACTTTGTACAAGACGCAATTAACATGACTTTTAAAACAATGGGGAGAATGAAATGTGTTACAGTCCAGATGATGGAGAGCAAAAAGAAGTTTAAAGGCGGAAAAACTCACTCCTATTGACATTTCAATTGGAGCCTTTAAAAATGCACATGGAACTTTTGTATGATAAAACCTATTAGTAAAGGTTTCAGTAGCCAGGAAAAGCAGGTGGGAAAGAAAAAGAAAATGCATGGTCAACTGGTGGCTGACGGGATTCTACAGTCTGTGAATTATAGTACCAGCTATGGGAGAGCTGTATGTGGCCACCAGGGTGCTGAGCAGAGAGGCAGCATGGGCCTGTCTCGACATCTCTGCTCTTCAACTGGGTACACCTTCCATTTTTGAAAACTGCACCTAACTGGTATTTCTAAGGGGTTGTTAGAAGGTGTTACAAACCTTGATCACTTTTGGGTCAATGTATGCAACTGTGCGAAGGACACCTCTCAGATACTTGGTCATCACAACAGGGCCCAAGGCAAAGTTGATTTTGATCTTCTGGGCCAGTTGTGGGTTTTTTGAAAATGCCCCATAAGCTGAAAGAAAGCAAGAGAATAGATTACTTTGAGGTATTTTTTTCTTGTTCAAAGTTCTATGTATTTTTAGTCTCAACTAAGACTATAGGTATACTCTATCTCATATATTTCAATCTTTACCCAGGTGATTCTCTGATTCACCCGGAAGCACAGTGCCCAGTTACTTTCTTTCAATTCCATTTGATGTGGCCCTCATTTTTCTAGTCACTGCAAAAGGTTTTGTTTGCTTAACTAGACATTCAATAACTTAGCGTGTTGCTGCATTACAAAAAAGTGAAAATCTAGAAAAATCAAGTAATTCCCTATTGTTAAGTAATCTCTCACACTTTTGAAATTCAGTGTTACATTTCTATTACATCGATCTTTTAAATATTTTGTTTTCTTCTGTGGTTAGCATGGAAGATCTGCATACACCAATGGCTTGCGAGAGTTGAGTATCCAATCTTCAAAAAATGACTACCCCATTAAATTTCAACTTAATATTTTTTAAAGCATATGAATCTTCTCTAGTAGTTAGGTATGGATATGCCCGACTTCTGTAGCTAGGGAATTGTGTTTATGGATTCTTAAGAGTTCTTTCCTCCAATCTCAGCCTTTGGGGTGTGTGTGTGTGTGTGTGTGTGTGTGTGTGTGTGTGTTATAATGTAACATAATCAAATTATAGTTTATGACTGCCAGGAAAACCCTTAGTAAATACCATTCGATTTTTAGTGTTTTCTCACTGAGGATGTTTGATCTCAAGGAGCATTAGTAATATGTGGAGACAATTTTGCTTGTTATAACTCAAAGAAAATGAGGACATCTATTCCTGTCTCGTCAGTAGACAGGCTAGGTACCATTTAGCATCAGACAATGAATATCCTGAGAAAACATGCAGCCCAATAAATATGAGGGTCTGTGCTATTGATCCCACACCTTCCCTTAATGTTCTGTGAGATTTAGGAGAAGTACACCTCTTTAGTGTACTTTGCACATTGTAGCTAATAGCCAGCAAAATAATAAAGACACTGTATTTTCAGAAGAGAAGGGGAGGGAGGGTGTCGGGAAGGGCTGTGTGAGAGGGGACTAGGAAGAGGGGTTGAAAAGTGAATAAACAAATAAATTAAGGAGAAAAACCACTGTATTTTTTAAGTGGCATGTAAATTGATTAGAAATGCTTTTCCAGGTAACATAAGGTTTGGAAACAAGTTTTTTTTTTCTTATATTAACAATATGTAAATTAGCAAGCCCCAGACCAGTCCAGTACAATACCACTCAAAGCTCTGTGGATGCTCACTAGGTCCTCTGAATTTAAATGCTCAGAGTGCCCATGTGAATTAAATAAATAAATAAATAAATAAATAAATAAATAAGATAACTCTATAAGATAAATAATATACACCAATTTTCCTTTAAGAAAGTGTTTTTAAGCACTTAAAAACAACATATTAAACTTGGCTTTGGAAAGTACAGTGACTTCAACTATCTTTTATGAAGGAAATTATAATGATTAAAGAAAAACATGTGCCCATTATTCTTTCTATTATTTTAAAAAAAGATTAGCCAGGTACAGTTGCCTATGGCTGTAATCTCGAGTTCTGAGAACTGGAGTCAGTAGTTGCATGGTTGAGGCTAGACTGTGCTGCATAGCAAGATCCTGTATCAGACAGCAGCAAACATGACTGTCTGATAACAAATGAAACCACTGTAACAACTGGATTTTAAATATCTGGCTAGTCTGAATGTTTCCACATACTGACAAGATGTCATTCTTATAAATGAAAATTATTGCTAAAGAATATTTGTGTGGTTTGTGATAAAAATTACAATGTGTTCAGATTTCAGTCTCTCTCCACATACCAAAATAGACGCCCTGGGAATGGCCAATGTAGTAAATTTGTTTTTGTCTTGTCTTGTTCAAAATGAAATCAATGGTGGCTGGAATATCATATGCTATTGATTCATCAAAACTGTATAAAACAAAAATGGAGAGATTTTGTTAATTATAGTAATTGAACAATATCTTTGCAGGGTAAACCCTGACTTGAAAATAATTTCTAAAGGGCTACCTGAGTGCTGAGATAATGCTGATCAAATATCTCCTGCAGACCCTCCACCATGTCTCCTCCTGCTTCCTACAATACCCACAATGCCTTGGCATGATCTCTTATTTGTGCACTTTGACCAGAGCCAGAGATCAAAGCCAATTAAATCACCAACTGTATCTCTAAATGCATTTGTTCTATACCAGAGTTTATGATAAATATTTTATATGGTCCTCCCATAACATATGTATGAATAGTTTTTATTTGTGTTTGGGTAAGATATGTTAAAATGGTCAGTAAAGTAAGTAAATACCAAAAAAGGGAAAACAGGAAGAGCTTTTAGCACAGAGGATATGTTTCACAAAGATCTGACATTTTGTGATAAAAATGAATCTTAAGTATTTTGTTCCTTTTACTCCTTCCCTATTATATTTTTCATAAACATAAGAGAAGCCACAACAAAAGAAAACTATACAGATGATTGGAATTTGGGTCTATATTTATCAAACAGTATATACAGAGCAAGAACATCTTTTCTATTCAAATATACTTCAATGAAATATTTTCTAAATTAACAAGATGAAGTATCAAAGTGATTAGTAGTTACAGGTAAAGAGATATATAAGAATTATATATAAATTTTAATTTTTATCTTAAACTAAATTAATAATATAAAATTTTAGGCTAGCTTTAACCTATCAACCTTTAAAAATATCATTCAAGGAACTGAAGATGTCTCAGTGCTTCAAGACACTTACTGCTCCAAATAAGAGCTTTCAACCACTTAAACTCCAGCTCCAATGAATGGGATATCTACAAATCCTGTGACCTCTGCACTCACATATATGAACACACACACAGACACACGTAGTACACAAAAGACATACAAACTACATACATAGAGACATACACAGGCACACAGACATAGGCATTACATACACATGTGCACAGACATATACACATGCACACACACATAAACACACAGCTATACACACATACAACACACATACAGACATACACAGATACACACTGAAATAAATCTTAAAGACTCAAAATATTATTCATTACTTACGGCATTTTAATGGTGTTATTTTGGTCAGGCCGAGTAAATCTGTGACAACTTAAAAACATTAAAGGTAGCTTTAAAGAAAATATACCAGGATAAAAGATCTTTTCTCTTACCTAAAAGCCCAGAATTCTTTAGAATCTGGGTCTAGGCTCACATGTTTCCTGGCATTGTTAGTGCCCCTGCTGTTTCCCAGCCACACATCAAAGCCAGCATCTGCCAGGAGGAAGGCTAGGCAGTTGCTGGGAGGATCAAGAACCCAATAATCAGCAGATACAGTAAATCCATGCTGCAAATACACGACTGGCTTCAAGGCTGAAAAGAGAACATAAAGTATTTGTTATTTATTATTAGTTTTTAAGAATGCAAAATAATGGAGCTCGTTATATTTTATATGCCCCTGGAATTTTCTCATGTTTACATCCTCCCTTATCCTCTTTGACACCTATCTCCTCCTGGGAAGCATTTGATTGATAATGTAACTTTGCATCATCATTATACTGTTTGATTTGGGGAACTTTGTTATTATCTCTGACTAGTGTTTTTTTGTTTTTTTGTTTTTGTTTTTTTTCTCTGTGACATCATCTCAGCATATAGTCCTGGCTGGCCTAGGACTTGTTTTGTAGACGAGGGTGGCCATGAATTCACACAGATCCACTTGCTTCTGCCTCTCCAGTAATGTGATTAAAGGGGGCAAGGCTTGGCTTTTGTTTTTTGGTTTTTTTTTTTTTTGGTTATTTTGTTTTATTTTGTTGTTGCTGTTGTTGTTTACTTGTTTTGTCTTGTCAGCTTGTTTATTTACCATAGTGCAGTTGTAATCCAAATAGAGGTGTTAACAGCTGATTATCCTCATTTGATAGCCATAAATATCACTCATTTTCCTCAGAGTAAAATAATCACTGGACTCACAGGATTTCTTTATTTTTCCTGTTCCTTATTGAGTAAATATGTATTACCCTACTGAATGTTTTTAATTTATAAAATCTCCAAGCAAAAGATACTATGCAGAATAGTTAATAGATAACTCCAACAACAAACCCTTGAACATTTAGACATTTAGTCAGAATGAACCAAATGCACCTGTCATCAAGAATGATATATTGAATTCTCAGAACTGTAACTCAAGCGTTGCAGCATTACAATCATTACAGCCAGGGTCGGAAGTTCTTGGCCATGCCAGCAGGGATTCTGAGCTTTTATTCTGCACAGAAATCTAAATTCACGTAACAGATGGTGCTTTTTCTTCTAATAACATCAACTCCCATGGCAGGAGTTACACAGGACAGGCACCTAGCTTTGTATGTGGAAGGCAAGGAGTCTGGGGGCTCCTTATGAGGGGTAAATAATGGAAGGGTTTGCACAACATGCCTTGCACTCCGAGCAGTTTTTGTTACTCACTGTTATATGAATTCTTTCTCTCATTCTTCCCATGTGGAATCCGAAATGCCAAGAGGAGGTAACCATCCTCAGTCTTAACCTGGTGCTCTTCACCTTCATAGCCCCAGTGGGAAATTATCTCACTCTAAATGCGGGCGAGAAAACATATTGACTTTTATTAGTTTGGTCACCTGAACGCTTTTATGATTCTCCAGTAAATTTTCTTTATAGAAAGTAGTAGTGTGTTTTAGGTAAAGAGAAATTTCAGATTATCATAAATGCAACCATCTGGAAAGAATGTGTGAAAGGAATAGAAACAAATCTTTGAAAGTATGTTGGTTAACAGGAATAGCTTACAACATTCATATCAGCTTCGGGATTCTTTGGTTTGGCTTCCAAAAAACAAAATACGTTTCCAATTGTATGAAGAAAACACATTGTTCTCAGTAGCCACCACATTTAAACCTGCCAGGAAATATTTATTAGCATAATACAGTACATGTTGCCAGGTAAACTCGGGTTATTGGATATACATTGTCCATCTGTCACCTTACATACTAGGAAGTTACTCATATCATCTACTAAAACTCAGAAATACCTCTGCACTTTTCAAACGACAGCTTACATGAAATGCAAAGTAATTGTCCATACTATTCAGAAAACCACCTTTCTGGAACTTGTCTTGACTTCATCAAGATCATTACTTTTTTTTTTCAACAAAACTGTTACATGCATTCATCTGAAACTGTTTACAACTCTACCCCAACAGAATAAAGCTTGGAAGAATGATATAACAACCATAACATGGTGTCAGAAAAGCAACTTGGGATGAACAGTGTCATGGAACCAGAGTGTGTGGCTCCAAGGCTCTAAGGGACCTTATGTAGACTCTACTGCCAATATGGTCTTCTTTTGGTGAATGTTAACACAAGGCACATTTCACAGATGTTTTCAGAACTTTTCATAGACATACTTTAAAGAAAGCACAAATACCGGTAACAAAATATTTTCAACACAAATTATTAACTCTCCCATTGATATAGAGCCTAGCCATGGTAGACACCAACTTGTCTATGTCCTGTTCTATTTTTTCCATAAATGATTGCTGTCAAGACACAATGGAGAAAAGAAGAAAATTACACCAATTCAAAGTAACGTTCTATACAGTCAGTCATAGAAGTAATTGTCATGAAAATTACTCTGTATCTAAAATAGAATTAATTTCCCATAGGAATATGTTGTGGACTGAAATTCTAAGAAGGTTTGAAATACCACAACTTCATACTCACTGTCACCAGTGCAAAGTCCCTAGGCTCTCTGGAGTGTAAATGAAGTTTTAATTCTCCTTTCCTTTCCTCTCTATATAAATATCAGCATGAATATGTTCTTTGGATGACCTCTTCCGCACTGAAAAGTGGCTATGGCTGCAGTGAACTCTGACATTTGTCAAGAAACCAAACATTTGAAAAGCTCTCGAGATGGACAACTCCCAAAATTTCTTCCTAGCAATATCATCTCTATTATCTGCCAGGTGCTATAATGCTTCTTCCCAAGTCTCATCTCCCTGACTGTGTAAATATCATCAAAGATTTCTTCAGTGATTAGGAAAGGGATAATTAATCACCATGTATTTTTGTTAAAACTGTAAACATTACCCTAAGCTACTTTAAAGAATTAGGTGTAACTAACTTTATCAGAAGATTTTGCTGTTTGTTGTAAATGAAGAAATGGAGAAATCTTGCAAATGTGAACATACATCACAGCTGTGCTCCCATTCAGCAAACACACTGTGGGCACTGTGCTCCTGTACCCCACAGCTGTACTTAGCTACACATGA